TCATTAAAGAAGGTAGTGGACAGAAGTGGAGTACTGCTGCAACTTTCCTGACTAGTGCGAGCACAGAAAATCTGGCTATGTATATGTTAAAAAATGTATATAGTTAAAGAACAAGGAAAGTCAGAAAAATATTGAGGTCACCCTTAACTAAATGATGCAAAAATCCCTAAAATGCAAATGCAAATCCCTAACCACAAATTGAGAAGTTCAATGTTCAGAAGGGGATAAAAGAGGGGTGCTCTCAAAACTTCTGCCTGTAAAATTAACACTGCATATGCAATTAGAAATTTACTCTGGAACTGGAACTAGGGGCTAAATTCATTCTTTCAGAACAGTAAAATAAATAAAAAGTAATTTAGAAAAATTATTTCTGCCAACTTGTAATCAGCTTCAGACTTTCTCTAATGGAGGCCAACTGGAATAAAATAATATTATCTAAACTGCATATTCAGACTCTTACACTTGAAAGAACAGAATCTGAAATGCAGAAATATAGATGAAATATTAAGACTAGCTCAAGAGCATACCCAAATTTCCCATATGAAAGTCACAATAGACACCACATAATTTGAAATGCAATGATTATTTATAAGGTTAGTCACTGAAAACATCTTGCCACTAAACCATCCACTGACTAATCAATAAGCCTGCCCAGTACAGTACGCTCTTTTCCAACACTGAAATCGATGAAATTGACAAAATTGAGTGAGTTGCAAGTACAGATTAGCTGGGAAGTGCAAACTGATGTCAGTGCAGCTATTTCTCCACTATAGGGGTCCTGAAGCCACGAACTTGAAAACCTCTCCATTAAAGGGCAAAGTTCTAACCTTCCTTTCAGTAGCATCCAAAAAACCACAGTGACTGTGGGACAGGGGTGGGAGTTACTGAGGCTTACCCAGTTCTGCTCACAAAACAATATGATTCTCAAAATCCCAAAACCATTTGTAAGAAATTTCTTATCCAAACTCTGCCCTAAGGATCTCAGCTTGGGCATTTCCACTGACATTTTGTGACCTCTCCTTAGTTTGGCTTTTCACATTTCTACCAACACAGCCATGTTATTTATGGACTGCATTTCCACCATTAATCATGGAAATGCAGTAGTCATAGACTAATACATTCCAAGTGCTGGGTTGCAAGTTAAGTGATGAAGAATGTCCATAGTTGTTCATTGAGAAAATGGATTTGTTTCTTCCACCCTCTTTCAATAGGTCTGGCGGGCTTAGCTGATAACTTCAACAACTACAGTTTCTGTGCAGAGGTGTAGAGGACTAATTTTTGAAATACTCTAATATTAATGAAAATCTCAAATATCTTAGGGTCTGTGACAGCTCATAGGAGTAGTGAAACTTACCATCTAGTAGAGGTTAGGATCTATGCCCCCAAGATATTATATTATGCAGCTGATTTCAGGGGACAAAAATCTTGCAAGATTTGCCATCCATACAAGGTTTATGGACTTGGTAATGTTACTTCCCTACAAAGTTATGTCTCAGTTTTCAACAGCAACAACTGAACTTTGTTGGTAATTCCCAGGCAAGAGGTTTGCAGGTAGACACTAACAAAGCACCTGGTTTATAATGCCTTAACAGCAAAGAGCACTGCAGCATGTCCAGGCTCTGGCTCTCTCTCACCCATCTGAAATCAGAATTTTCATTATCTGACAAGAACTGACATATGAGAAATACCTTCTGCTTTCACACAAAAAGGAACCAAGAAGTCTGGTAGGTGTCTGAAACATAATCTGTGCTGTATCATTTCAAGGTGAAAATATTCAAAATGTTGGAGTGGCAGATGAACTCACCAGCCAGCAGCAACCAACAGAACATGGCATGGAAAGGAAAAGCCAGGAGCTCTGGGATAGCATGTCAGACAGACATATGCTGAATGAGCTGATGAGAAATACTGGTAGCTAAGCAGTAAATATCAGCCAACCCCAATTGGAAGATGTAGTCTTCTACTGTTACATCAATGAAAGGTAGAGACAAGTGTTGTGCTGAAATGGCAGAAAAGCAGTCCTTCTGAGTGATGACTGGAACCTGATCACTGAAGTTGATGGATCTTTGGTCTTCACCAGTTTGCTTTTCCCACCCCGAAGGCTGTATCTTTAGAGGAGGAAAACGCTGTAACTTTTAGTCTGAGACAGACTCTTTAGAAGTCATCGCTCCTTGGATTTAGTTATTATATATTTAGTGAAAGGACAAAATTACAAGATACGGTGATGGCATTTCAAACGACACTGATTGTAATCAACTTTTAAATTTTCTTTTAAAAACATTCACTTCTAATTCTTTGCAATGAAGCTTGATACACTGTATCCAGAAATGGTTTCCTTTAGATAAGTCAAAATACAGCCTAATTAGGTAATGAAAAAGAAACTCCACTTGTTACTAACAGCAAAAGTATTCCTTCATTTCTGTGAAAACTGCAATACAATCTGTATACAGTTTCACCTAACTTGATGTCTCACATGCTTCCACAGACCAACATATCCTAAACACAGAAGTACTTTTTCCAGCATGACTGTCAGTGATTGTTGGATTTAATGCTGGTGAACAATGGAACTTAGATCAGATAGGAAATAAACATAATTGTTAACTATCTTGGTGGAGATGAGAAACCAGATGACATCTGGTGCTGGCATTATTCTACACAGGAACACTGTACAAAAGCTACTTAGGTTAGAGTAGTAGTTTATAAATACCAGATATACACATTAGGAGGAGGTTGGCAGGCTAAGAAAGGACAAGCACAGCTTTGTAATAATAAACAAATGAAGAAGGAGAGCATTTGTGAAATTATATCTGGGAAGCTTATTTTTGTCCAAGACAATTTCAATTACATTTTTTATATTTTTTATTGCATAGATGCTCAGTGTTGTAGAAGAAATCTGCCTTGGTTTATACACTGCCATAATTTACCTGATTCTCTCTGCTAAAGCAAAAGGACCACCAGCACCCCTGCACCCTCCCTCCCTTCAAAACCCAAAGACTGGGACCACAGTGGCAGTGCAGCAGAATGCAGAGCATCAGCCCCTCAAACCTCCCCAGACCACCACCACAAAGTCCTGAAGCATTTGTACACCAACTGAACTTCATGTACTGTGATTAATTTCCCTGACACCATGTGGGTTTCATTGCAGCACACAAAACCAAATGCAGACTTACATATTTTTAGGATCGGGACCTACTTAACACAAGTCAGCCGTGATTTAATATGTCTGTACTTAATGTGCAGTTTACTAAATGTGAGAGAATTCTGTATTTTAGTGCAATTTGTGTTTTTCCCCAGAACAGCATATATGTTGTTTCAACACTAAAGCTGATGTTAAAAACTCTGCAGTTACTGATGTTTATTTAAAGAATTAAAAAGCTGTCTAATGCAGCTGGGAACCGAGGTACAGTAGCCTCATATTTAAAAGCAGAAACTTTTATATAATAATAGGGAGCACTACTGGGGATGTTTCCCATTTATGATTCTTTAGCAGCTTCTATTTTTCACAAGAATTAATGTTCTAATTAGAATGCATTTGTATAACATTTTTCTCATGCTGATCAAGTATCACCAATTCAGTGATTTCCATGTGATTCCACTGCATATGCTGGGTCAGAATATTCAGATTGTTATTATCTGCTGGTAGAAGAGGTAATAGAGCATTTCTAGCCACAAAATAGCGCCACACAGAAAAGCTATAGTAATAGTGAACATCAGGAATGCACAATAAAAAGGCAGAAAAAGACCTTTAGTTGCAAAACCACCCTTCTGGACTGTGCTTAGTGCAATGATCTGGATCTAAATAAGGATTAATATTCACAAGATAAGTGGGTAGCTCAGCATCCGTCTTTGTATTCGTGACATGCATGCATGCTGTCATGCACAGATCAAAAAGGATTTCTGCTGCATCATTTAAACTTTGCAAAGTTGGAGGCAAAGGCTTCCAACCTTGACAGAAAGCCCCTATACTACAGTTTGTGCTAGAAAGTGATATCTTTCAGGGTAGGATACAGACAGGATGTAGTGTCCCTTAGTTGCAAGCCCAGTGCTCACTAATTATATCGAGAATCTCTAGAGTGACTTCCCAGAGAAAAAATTGAGACTTCCAGTGACACTTCAGAACAACCTCCTCTGAAACACTTAGAGAACTTAGTGTCCTGATGAGAAATAATAAGGAGTGCAGTTACTATTTATCACAATTTCCTTCAGGTATTTTTTCAGATATGTACATTAATGCTAATCACTTGTTCAAACCCCAGCATTTCACATGTTCAATTCTGAAACTATTAGTATATTTGAAAAGTAGCATCTGAAGTAAGCGATATTATTCTTAAACTCTTCACAGTTCAATATTTTTATCTCTTCATATTTTTTCACATTCCACTTGCTACTAACTAAACATGAAAAAATTTGTATGTGACACATACTGTCCATCATGTAACCTTCTGCTCTTCTGCTCTACAATTCAAAACAATTTCTGTTTGTGGAGGTTGAATTATACAAGGAAATCACAAGAACTGAAGTTTTAAGCCTTATCATTTTTACAACTTTGCAAATACTCAGATTTGAAAGTTAGGTTATGTTAATGTGATCTGATGATATGATCTGGTGATGATAAGGTCGATTTCAAAGTAGTGCATATGTAACAATACTGACTTTTGCTTCTGATCCAAGATTTGTTTTCTCCCAAGAATACATTCAGTGCACAGGACTGGCCAAAGACCACTGAAATCAATGGAAAGGCTACCAGTGACTTTGAAGAAATATGGATTGGGCTTTGAGCATAACACTGCTCATTGCTCATTGTCTTGTCACAGGGGCTGAATTTGGCTTAGACAGAGGTAAAGCGGTTCATCCCATGTACCTTTAGTAAATAGCACACTTTTTAACCCCACCATTCCATCCCAGGAATTTAGAGTATTTTGTTATGCTAGCTCTGTTAAGGAGCCACAACACTTGCACAGGTAAAATGAATGATTGAAACACATACAGTTGTTTGTACTTACAGGTATCTGGCTTGAGCTGACTGTTGGTAATTCCAAAATACTGCGGATTTTCAATAACAGGAATCTTTGTCATCCCAATGATGACTGCATCAGGACCCCCCTCAGAAGAAGATGGAGTGTTACTGCCATTTGAGATGTGGTGGAGGGGACTGGCTGAATCGTCGTCATTGCTGATGACTGAAGAAGGACCTAGAGTTAGAAACAAAGAATTTCTTGTAAGTGTATGGTACTCTTCCCTCAGATGAGTAAGCAATCTTTTTTTTTTTTTTCAAAATTTTGCCAGCTGTCCTCCATTACTCTAGTCAACAGCTCTCTTTGTGTGCCTTGTTGACCTTACCTCAAAAATTTTGTATCTCTGGGTGCAGATGGAGAACAGTGAGTTTTTTTCCAATTAGGAACTAGAATTGAAACAAGTTTTTGTACTAGTATATCACCTAGAGTATATGTCAGCGTCCAGCACTGTCACTGTGCAAGATCTCAAATCTTGAAGTAATTTTGTCATTCTCAGAAATAAGCTATGGAGTACACACATTAACTTTTTTAACTTATGCCCTACTTGAAGCACACAGCAGTAACAGCACAAATCCAGGGAATGCCTGCCCTACCTGGCATTACAAGAAGACACAAGGAAGCTGGTAATTTCTGAAAGAAACATGGTTCAGGGCCAAAATCCAGGGGGCAATTTGCATAGTCAAAGAGGTACAGAGAAGATGCTGAGAAGAGTAGAGGAATAAAACCTGGAGTCGCTGCAGAGAGGCTCATCCTGTCCAGGAGCACATCCTACTGGCTCCCCGGTCCATATCTGAATCTAGTTACCTTCCAGAAAGAGGTCTATTGTGAACAGTAACTGAGTTACAGTTTTTGTTTTGTTTTCATTCCATGCTTTGTATTTTTAATGAAAGTTCCACAGAGATAAAACCTTGTAAATGGATTTTTAAAAAATATCCTCCTTAGCACAGTGTCCCAATTCTGCAGATGCAGGAGCCTTTGAACTAACAGCAAATCAGCACAGATGACATTCAAACTCTTGACATCTAACCCTGCCACTTAAATTCTACATTACTTCTTCCATTTTACATTCAGTATTCATAGAAAACTAGAAGCACCATTTAGCAGCAAAGACATTTTGCCTATTCTTCTGACTGAAGAGACAGCAGAGATCACACATATTTCACTTCATTCTCCATCCACATTAACTAGGGTTTTTGGGATGACATTCACATCTTTTAATTGTAAAATCAAAAGATGATGTTAGAAACAGATGGCAAAAACCACCCTCTGGAAGTGCCTATTCTGAAATTGCATCTTTAGCAAACTGCATTTAGCCTTAGGGCAGCAGCAACAGCTTGAGAAAATGTCCCCCCAAAGAAGGGGGAAGAAAAGACCTTCTGTCTTTACTGTAAACTGTGTTTACTCCAAGTCACCCGATTGCAATATGTTGGACTCCTAGACTGAGTTTTTGACTGGATAGAAGGAACACTGCAGAGGAAATACACAGCTAAGTAACCTACGAGGCAGATGGCATCTATGTCTGCAAGAGAGATAGGGAATGCAGAGGAGAGAGTGAGAATGGGGATCATCAGCAGGTTCTGCATGCATATTACTGAGGGCATGAGAGTATCCACTGCAGCAGACACACAGCTGAAGAACCAGACAAGAAAAAGGAAAGTCCCAAGCACAGCAAAGAAAGGGCAGCTTTAAACAAACTCCTACTCTTCTGTGGCTCACTGTATCGTTAACAAAATCACTTCGTCATTACGCAGCATGGCCGACAGCAATAAAACTTAAATATTCTGGCATGTGGCTATTCAACCCTACAGTTTGAGACACAAGTATATTCACACCCCTGTCCTGCTTTTCTTTCTTCCCAATTGGTTTAAGGGTGCATGAGGGAAATGTTCTCATAGTTTGAAAAAGTACTTACCCCCTAGCCTGAAACACTAGAAGTAATTTTTCAAATACCTGGCACTTCACAGGAAAGTTACTGTTGACAAATGCAAATAAAGCCTAGATCTCTGCAATTTATCAAGTGAAACACTCATACCAAAGCTGGTTTTGGGATCACCCAGATCCCCACATGATTGACTCTACTGGGAAAGATGCCAGGATAAAGAATTTTTGTAGATTTCTGTAGTAAGGGCAGAGCCTAACAAATTGTGGAAATGGGCCACTCAGACGGCACAGCCAATATTTGTGTTAAGTCACAACACGTTTTTCAGGTGCATGAGAGTTATTTGCACAAACATTAAGAGTGCAATGCATTTAAAACTGCATTCAGTTTTTGGTAGAAACCATGTTTACATCTATAAACTTTCTGAATCTCAACTTGTGCAAAAGAGTAGGCTGATTAATACTTTCTTGGGAAAACAAAATACTTTTACACTAATATACTTTAGTATGAGGATCAAATCTCTCATAGCGAATAGGGAAATTCTCTGGGCTCTGAAACTTAATAGATGCATGTCTTTAAGTCCTTTTCAGTCCCGCTATTCTCTGCAGTACAGGAGGAGGCTCTTTTGTCATTGTTTGCTTCCACCATAGATGCAGTGATGGCAAGGTAACTATTACACATTTCTAGACTTTAAAGTGGGATAATGAGTAGGAACTCAGTCTATTCATTGAATAATTTCTGCAGTACTTCAGGATGCAATTTCGTATGGTCAACTACTATTTTCAGCCAGTATAAACTGCAAAGCGCCACAGGGGAAAAGCAGACAACTGTTCTGTAAATCTACTCAATTAGGTTAACTGGTAAAAGCTAGTCTTCTGTGTGGTATGAAGCAGGTTGCAAGTATACGCAGCTCTGTGATGTAGGTGAGAAAATCCTGGAAAATAAGGTGACTTTCAGGTCAATTCCTGGCAGTACAAAACAGTTTAAGAGAAATTCAACCTTAGGAACTTTGTTGCTCTATCACTCTGTGATCCCTCTTATTAGCAACTAAACATCTCCTAGAATGATTTTTGTGAATAGTTGTAACTGGAACCCATCAGAGGTGTTTTTTTTTCTACGCTTGTTTATTTGCTAGACTATCTACTCATCAGAAAGTTACATTTAATTGTTTGAGTGCACTGAGTCACGGTACAGCTACACACCAGCCAGCCCTGCAGCTGGCTATGATATTCAAGTAATGTAAAACCATTTCCAGGATGCAAGATGAGATTATCACCTGTGATGACAAGAAATGAGAGCTGCCCTTTTCTGAATGGGCTCTGTGCTCAAAATGAAGGGTAATTTCTTGAAGCACCTTGGAGTGTGGTTTCATCCACATGAAATGCAGTCACTGAATTACTTGTGAAAGGTAGAACAAGTATGGTAATTACACTCAGTCACCTACTACTGACTCTGGTTTTTATAAAATCTCCTCTATGTTTTACACCTGAAACCCTGAAACCTGAAAATTTTAGACAAAATGTAATAGGTTGGAGTGAAAATCATGGGTTATCAGTAGTCATTAGCTATTGCCAAGAGCAGATTCACAGTTGGCTTAAGCTTTTAAGAAGATTCCAGAGACCTTCTCCACCTTCCAGTGTGCTGCCCAGAATCTTCCCTTGATTTCATTTTTAGACAATTTTTCTTAAGACAATTGGAGTCAGACAAGAATCTGTAGCCTGCTTTGGGAAAGATTATTTTCTCTTCTATTTGATATTAAGCTAAAGACTTGTCCATTCCACATCACCTAGGCTCAAGAAAAATCCCTTTTGTGTACAAAAAAATCTAGCAGCTCTCTAAAAGAGTTGTAACATGTAAGAAAACCAATTCTATTTGAAACTGATGAGCAATAATGAAACCATGATGCCTCCAAGAGCTGGGCAGGGAATTATCCTCCACACATAATATGAGGACAGGCAGAAACAGCAAACTTCACTTACTGCACATCCCAAGGAGTACTGTGATATCTCTTGAACAGCGTATGCCTGCACCTGTACTTTATCTTAGTGGTGCCAAAAAAATTGAGCTTCACTAGGTTAAGAAATAAAATTTAATTATATTATTTTCAAGGTGTGTCGCTATTTTTGAACAGGCAAAGGAGATTCATGATTATTAGATACAGCCTTTCATGACAGGAAAAGCTCAGAAAATTGAGATTGTGCAGCCTGCAAAAGAGAAGGCTTCAGGGTGACTTTGCATCCTACCAGTACCTGAAGGGAGCCTATAGGAAAGATGAAGCGAAACTATTTACAAGGGCTTGCAGTAACAGAACAAGGGGCAATGGCTTCAAACTGAAAGACAGTAGGATTAAGTTAGATATTAGGAAGACATTCGTGAGGGTGGCGAGGCACTGGAACAGGCTGCCCAGAGAAGCTGTGGATGCCCTATCCCTGGAGGTGTTCAAAGTCAGGTTGGATGGAGCTCTGAGCAACCTGGCCTTGTGAAAGGTGTCCCTGTCCATGGTAAGGGGGTTGGAACTGGGTGACCTTTAAGGTCCCTTCCAACCCTAGCCATTCTATGACTGCATTTTGTGGTTCATTATACTCCAGTCACCATCAGAGTTAATGCAGTTTTAACAAGCATGCTACCAAGACCTGTCTACACTGCTACTTGTTGGAGCTACATTTGCACAACACATTTCTGTGCAACACACATCACTCCAATTATCCCTGAAGTCACTACTAATGGCTCAGGCCACACTGGAAGACAACAGGGGTAATAAAATACCACAAACCATGCTTTCTGGTTAGCTTTGTGTATTTCCAAGGATGTATCTACTTATTCAGCTGTTAGGAAGCAGCTCATGTAAAAAGCAGCATTTATAGAGATGATTTTTTGCTGTGATGCCTTAATAAATATCATTCCATCCATGAAAAATTATGTTGATTTGTAGGATGGTTTCTCAATGGGCCTTGCACTTGATCCTTAGTTCCCCTGGGAACAGGGACCAGTCTGTGCCAAGACATGCACACAATTAAGTTAAAAGCCCAACAATGAATGTATGCCACATCACTCAACACCTCTGCTAAATTCCAAGGCCATACCAAATCTTCTCCCTTTTTCCTTTTGGGAGGGGTGTATTTTTTCACATACATTGTTCTGAAAATCAATTACACAAGATTTCTTAGCCTGTGAGATTCCCATGTTTGCTGTAGATTTTATATGTTCTGCATGATTGAAATGAAAGTATTATGCTTCAGAAAGAGCAGAGATTCAACTTTTCCTGTTATCAAAACAAGAGCCAATTTTCTCACCAGAA